ACTTGTGATGATAGTGTATGTAGAGTGACAGTGGCCAGCGGCAGCCCTCTTCTTCAGACTTAGTGGCTGCTCTTTGAGATCCTTGCCTTGAAATAGCCTTGATTGCTTTGCTCATGCAGCCTCCTACTGGCCACATTGTGTGATCCAAGGGAGGATTGGGCATTGCGTGGTTCTTTCACTTCTCTAGTGGCACTAAGCTTATGGTCAAGAGGTGGAATTGCTAGCCTGTGCATAAAATTGTAGAATTTTAAAGAGTACATTTTCTCTTACATGTCCATTGTCCCTTTCTCTTCCTCATATGTGGCCAAGCAGAGTGCTAGAATCCTCTGTTAGCACAGCAGGTACCATTCTAGATGACTGACAATGACCCTCTGGAAAATGGAGGGTGTGAATTTTTGTTATTGTTGTCCACAACTCATGAGGTAGGCATAGAATAGTCAAAGGTGTGAGATATTCTGCCAGAAATCTTATTTGGCTCAGGAAAGATCTTCCTTCCTGCATTTCAACCACTCCCTAAACTCCCAGCTTCTTTATTGACCTACAGGTCAATCTTGTTGCACTTCCTGGTTCATCTCCAAGGTAGTTTGACTTGTGATAACAGTGTATGTAGAGTGACAGTGGTGTCATATTGCAAATCTCTTCTACAAAATTGTCTAACTCATCTGGGGAACTACACCAGGCAACAGAATGGAAGCAAGAGGTGTTCAAAGAGAAGGTTTATTATTAGAGCAACTACATGAAGTTGGGCAAAAGAGTGCAAGCCCTGAAAAGGTTGGAAAAGGAAGTTTCCTCAGGCAGAGTTTCCTCTAGCCAATATAAACCTCTTCTTTCTCAAACTCTTTTGAGTCATGTTACTCATCGAGATAAGGTGGAATTTCACTTTTTAAGCAGAATTATTTTTTGACAAAATCATGGATTGGAGTTAGGTAGACCTATATGTGAAATTAAGTTTCCCCATTTTCCTGCCTTCTGATCTTTGAGTTGATAACTTTTTTTGTAATTTAGATTCTCTATTTATGAATATCTTTTTGGGGGGTTATAAAGATGTGGAATACAATTCAGGGTTATATTTATGAATATCTTAAGGACCAAATGAAATAATAACAATAATAGCTGACATGTATTAAACAGCTACTATATGCCAGTCAGTTTCTTTTTAGTCTTCTTTTAACGAAGCAGTTAGGTGAATTGACTAAGGACATTCAGCTATGAAGAGGCAGAATCCATTGTTAAGTTAAGTTTGTAACATGGAGGTTAAGGGTATAAAATCTCTGTAAGGCTGCCCACTGTGTGCCTTGGTAGCAATTAGGACAGTTGTGAATAGAAGATGGTTCAATATATGTAAAACAATTAGAAACGACTTGCTTACTGGTGCTATCATTAACCCAGGGGCCACAAAACCTGTGCTTGTACTATAACCAGCTTCCAACACAAAGCTTGCCTATACTAATTTTTTTCTTAAAGCTCTACTTCTTTTCTCGCCTTTCCTACATAAACATGTGTTCTCAATAACTAAGTACTAATTCAAAAGCTTTAATATATATGTGTGGTGGGGATGAGGAAAGAATTGACAAGTATAATTTAAATATATAGCAAATAATTTTTATGCCAGTTTAAAAATGTTGACCAAGACACAAAATGGAGTCCACAATCAAAATCTTTGGGCAACTTTGTAGAGTGACTTCCTTGAGTTGGGTTTGTGATGGCACAATAAGAAATTTCATCCATCCATCCCTCCCTCCCTCCATCCATCCATCCATCCATCCATCCATCCATCCATCCATCCATCCATCCATCTATCCATCAATTCATTATATCAGCTCCAAAATATTATTTTTATCTGCCTATTATGTGTCTGGCACCCTGAACTTAAATATCACAATTTTATTCTGGAGATGTTCTTTTAAGATTTGCAACCAAAGCCAATTATTCTTCTGATGCATGTAGTTACCTTATGCGCCCATTCTCCTAGCAAATCTATCCTGAAATTTCCTGAGATGTGGACTCTTCTTTTGTGCTGCTGTAGTTCATTTGAATCAGATACCATCTCCTCTTCCTGGATCATCTTGCCTCTTTCAGCTTCTGTCGAAACCCGCTTTTCTAGGCCCTGTGGAACCTGTAAGGCTTCATAGACAGTTCTCGAACTTCATTTTACCTTAAGTACTTTCCTTTCTCCCAGTGATCTCAGATCAGCCTGAATGCCCCTTGGCTTTTACGTTTTACTGATCCATTTTCTAGCAGAAGTGCTGGAGCCCAAGAGTTAGATTATTATAACAGGGAGGTGGAACACCTGATCCAGTCTCTGGGTCTCTGAATCATGTGCAAGGAAGAAGAGAGTCTATAAATTTCCATTCAGATTTCAGATAGCTGTGTTAGAGACAGATGCTGTTGCCAGGTAAATGGGTTGCAAACTGCTGCATTGATAGGAGAAAGACACTTGATTTATGGACAGACCATTTTATAAAGTTCATTTTTAATGCAGTTTTTTAATAATGTGGCACATCTCCTGCTTTAGAAATGATATTTAAAATGGTAGACAGAGGCAGGGAAAGGACATTTTATTGATCTTCACTATCTTCTGGGTGTTCTCCTGGATACTTTACACCTACGAGTTAATTTAATCTCCATTTCTACCCTGCTGGGAAGTTATTATTGTTGTTTTTAATCCTCAACTTCCAAGTAAAGAAACACGCTCAGGGAGCTAAGTTTTCTGAGTTTGCATAGCTGGAAAGAGGTAGTGTTGCCCTCAGGAGCAAATGCTGCCAACGATACCATCCCACTGCTGTACTATGCAGTGCTAGCTGGTCTCCCGGGCATGGGTCCTGGTGACAGTGTTGTGCAACAAGCAACCTGGAAGAAAACAAATGGAGCCAAAATATTTCCTTTTGTCTTGTCCTTTCTTCTTTCTGAATCTTAATCCCTGCTTCCCAAAGAATGCCAGAGAAATGTGGTGGATGTCTGTACAGAACCAAGGTTGGGCAGGGATGGGTTGCCAAATGGTCTCAGTTTAAGTTCCATCTCTACCATGTATTGTCTGAGTGTATTGGGGTGAGTGACATTTATCACCTAAACTATGGATTCTGCAGTTGGAAAGTAGAGATAACAATATGAGCAGCTTCATTCATTCATTGAACTATTTTATTGAATCATGCCATGGGTTAGACACTGTCTGAGGGTTGGAATACAGAGCAGCAAGCAAGACAAAGCCCCTGTGCACAGGAAGCTTACATTTATACTGAAGAGAAAACACACACACACACACACACACACACACACACACACACACACACACGAAACAGGTGAGTATGTGGATTAAGGAGGAAAATACACGTAGTTAGAGTAGTGCTTGTCATGTGATAAACACGCAATTCATGTGAACTATGATTCTTTTCCATCTGTATAGCAGTTCGAAGTCAAAGCAATGAATCCATTTTCCCGATCAGGGTTTCTTTCTTCAGCTGATTCCTCCAAGTCCAAGCCCACTGAGCTTTCTAAAACCTCCGCCCGCTTCCAGAACACTGAGGACCCGTGTAGTAGTCTTGGATGGGAAGTGAGGCCGCCTGTTAGTTGCTCACGTGATCGTCTTCTGCTAGTGGGTTTTGAGCCCTTTGAGGGTAGGGACCAACCTCGCATGCTGTGTGTTCTGAGGTCCTGCACCTAGTTAGATGTACACTACATACTTGTTTTTGAAAGGGGAAAAAGGAAGGTGGTTTGTATGTGGATCCGTGCATTGTGCCTGGTGGTTTTATGTCTGCCCTGTTTTACTGAGGAAAGGATTGGCTTTTGGTGTGGTGATTGGAAGGAAGCCAGAGAAAGAGAGACAAAAAAATCATTGGTCTGAGCTACTTCTTTTCTGAAGGAGAGGACGGCATCAATCTTCTGTGGCTCCTTAATTATTCTTGCTGGGACTGAAGGCTCATTCCTGAGGCCTGCCAGTGACAACAACTTAATGTTGTCATAAGCAGAACAACTTAATGGGAAGAAAAGAGGCTGCAGTGTCTCCATCAGGATCCAGTGGTGGAGACTGTTGAGTGTCCCCCTCTTCCTCTAACAGGCAGCTGGGAAGCATCTTGTCCTAAAATCTGGAGCAAATCAACAATTTTCTGGAAAAAGATTGTGCTTAAGAATCTGGGGGCAAGTCAAGTCCTATATAGAGGATGAGGCATGTGTGTGATTCTTCCTTTAAATATGATACTCTGTCTAACCTCCCTAATTCACTGTTAGAAGAGGTCCTCTTCTCCCTTTGGAGATTAGCCATAATTCTGCCTTTAACTGGGCCAATTCCAAAGTGATTTCTGGATGAGAAGGACACTCAGCCCAAGACAAACAAACAGAGCTTGTGCGAATGGCCTGCATTCTGTTGAGCTGCTGTATTTTAAATAATCCTAATAAGAAACTAGTCATTGCCTATCATCTTAACGCTCAAAAACCATCCACATGCATGTGGAAATTGCTTGTGCATAAATTCATTCACCTGCCTATTTATCTATATATCGATACCTGTGTCTTTCATGGAGATGTTTACATAGAGTAGAACTAGAGACATTCCTTTTGATTACATTATTTTTTAAAAAAATCACTCTCCTTCTTCTGGCTGTGATATTGTGATTTCTATTTATAAAAATGGACTCTTAAAAGAACAGAGAGAGAGGAAAAAAATAGAATATATTTTACTTTAAATGCAAACACTTTTGTCGAAAAAAACCAAAAAACACATTGTGTTTTATAGTACATTTATTAAAACTCCCCAACTGTGTCCTCGAGAATTAATTTTCATTTGGTTTGTTTTAGCTCACTTATTGAATTGGAATTCAGTCCCCATTTGTGGCAATTAATTTGAAGAGTGACCACACGCCCACCCACCCTTTCCTGGAACACCCACACACATATGCTAAGTAACAAGCAGGCAGCTACTGGGTTTTCTCTGTCTTCCTTTTTATTTTCCTCTTTGAAATATTTCCTGCTCTCGCCTATTAAATAAATGATCTGTCTCTTTGCAGGATAGTGACAACCTCTGGTGGGACGCATTTGCCACTGAATTTTTTGAAGATGACGCCACATTAACCCTTTCATTTTGTTTGGAAGATGGACCAAAGCGATACAGTAAGAAATAAGTTTATTTTTCTAATAGTCTCTCTTTTTGTGCCTGTAAGAAACCACAGGGGTCTTCAGAGAATAGCACAGAGCTGACAGCCTGACAATAATACTTCCACTCCTGACAATGTTCTCGCTTCCCGTCAAGGCACTGTCACTGGGTGGCAGCCAGAGTCGGCTCTGAGAGATTTCCTTCGAGGCTTAGAATGTTTGGGTACTTGCCTATTTAGAGAGTGAGGCAAATGTGAGCCAAGTCACCCAGTGATAAGTGGGAGCACACTGATGGAAAGTTTCCATGCATCTCTTCTCTGCCACCCTCTTTTATTCTTGATGACTCACACTTGACACCCAATGTTCTGCTTTTGAAGGTTCTTTAGGAAAAAAAAATTTCTCACCATCACTGTATCAGCCACATCCGTCTAATTCCCTCTTATCAATTATCTCAGGTATTTATTTGACAAGTGCTATCTTTTCATGGGGACAGGGGAGGACACAGCTGCTTTAAACATATAGTTGGGATTAGTGTTGACAGAATTATAGTTCCTTGTCTTTCTGGGGAGTGATAACTACGTAAAGATCCTCAAATTACAGCCTGTGGCACCTTGGGTAACAGCTGATCTGTCCTGATTAGGTTCAGCCAACTTGTCAGAAATCAGATTTGCTAGTTCTGCTATCAGACCAAGAGGCATAGATGCATCAGCACAAAAGCAATTAATGTCCAGTTAGATCCGAGAGAGACGCATTTTCAGAAATCAGCGTTGCACATTGGAAAGATCCATCAGAGGGAAAAATATCCCCACTGTAACAAACACTGTAATGATGACAGAACCAGCCACATATGAACGAGTCAACCCAGAGCTTTTGGCAATTGATAGGTAATAGAGTTCTTGATAAACAATTAAAAGCTTCTATTGTTGCTTAATTTATTTTAAAGCCACTAGAGAACAATAATTATATTTTAATTTGGGGGGTCTTTAGAAAGCAATACTATTTGGATCTATTGCATATTTTGTTGATTAATTATGCTAATATATGCATATGGT